CAAAGCTAATGTTTTTCTTCTTGACCACGTACACCTGTATTCCCTTAGAGAGGAGAAATCTTGTTTATCATTTCGATGTATTTGTAAAAAAAAAAAAAATTATTTATTAAAAATTTGTTTACCAGGACCAGCAGATGGTGTAACAGCTATGTTACTGGACTCCCATGTAGTCGACTGTGGTTCAAGTCCCGGATACAGTGGCTTAAACTCAGGCCGGGCACATGTGCGTGCGTGTCCAAGATCCTGAGAGGAGAATTATATATATATATATATATATATTGTTTACCTTCAACTTTGATTGAGGTGTTGCCAAGATTTCTCTCTCAATGTATCTCTAGCACCTAGAAAAATGCTATGCTTAGAAAATAATTGTTAGATTGGTAAATTGTTTTATAAAAATATAAATTTTGTTTCCTCGAGTCTCATGTAAATGAGCTCCCATTATTCTACATACTTAACATTTGTTCCAATTATAATATATTTTCATTTATTTCTTGCAACTTATTTTTAAAATTTCTCTTTGCTCTACTTTTTATAACTTCTTTTCACTTCTCTTTATTGTATTTTTTGGTTTGATTATGCTTAGTTCTTTGGTAGATCAGAATTACCTTTCTTTCAACATTTAAGGCCCTTACTATAACTCTGATCAGCCTCTTCCTAGATATATGCTTATAACTGCCTACTATGTAGTGTTAGCCTGTGTTTGTTTCATCTCACAAACGATGCATCATTATTATATTTACACAGTCAGTGTTAGTTCAAATTTGCCCAAGTTGGGAACCAGCAGTTAGCATAATGGCTATGTCGCTGGACTCCCACGTAGTTGACCACGGTTCACGTCCCAGACCTGTTGGCTTAAAACTCACACCGGGTGCGTGTGCGTGCGTGCCCAAGATCCCGAGAGGAGAATGGAGGAGAAGGGATTGCAGCATGACCATCCCCCCTGGGGGGTGATTTCTCGCTTTCTGTCTCTATGTCTCTGTCTGTCTGGAGAGCGCACACGCCCTATAGCGAAAAACTTCTCAAAAAAAAAAAAAAATTTGCCCATGTTTACCCATTTCTTTGTTCATTAGTCCACTTTACATTTCTGACCTTTGAGAAACTCGTTTTCCTTTTTCCCTGAGTAGCTCCTTTAAATAAATTCCTTTCATGTAGGATGATCGACAGTAAAATTTCATTTTTTATTTTTTAGAAAATATTTTGCCTTCATTCTTGAAAGGTGGTTTTGTTGGGTATATATTTCTAAAGTCAGTTATTATCTCTCAGGCCTTTCATGCTACTTTTCTAATATCTTCTAGTTTCTGTTGCTATTTTGAGAATTTAGCTGTCACTCTTCTTCTAATGTCTGTTTTATGCTCACTCACCTCCATGTATTCCTGTTTGTTGGTTGGTTTTTTTTGTTTGTTTGTTTGTTTTTGTTTTATCTTTTTCCACTAAGCTCAGCTAAGCATTTAAGATTTTTGTGGCTATTATTACTTATTATTTTCTAGTAACTTATTATTATTTCATTTACCTGGCACAGTTCCTAGATATCATCTCTATAATTATCCAGGAATAGGTTTTAATTCTCAACATAAATTCTAAAATATTAATATGTTGAGTTTATGGGTAGAAAAAAATGAGCATTTTTCAAACAGTTAAAAAAACAGAATTAAAAAAACAAAAAAACAAAAACAAACAAACAAACAAAAAACAGAATTGAGGGACCAGCAGTTGGCGTAATGGTTATATCACTGGACTTCCATGTAGTGGACCACAGTTCGAATCCCAGACCTCGTGGCTTAAACTCATGCTGGGCGCATGTGCGTGTTTGCCCAATATCCCAAGAGGAGAATGAAGGAGAAGGAATTGTGGCATGGCCATCCCCTCTCGGGGGTGATTTCTCACTTTCTGTCTCTCTGTCTCTCTGTTTCTCTCTGTGTTTCTGGTGAGTGCACGTGCCCTATAGCAAAAACCTCTCCAAAAAAAAATCAGATCAAGAAATGGTTCACTGTTGGGACCAGCATTTGGTATAAGTTTTTACCATAGGGCATATGCACTCACTTGAGAGAGACAAAGAAAGGTAGGGAAAATGAGAAATTGCCCCTGAGAGAGGATGGCTATACCGCAATTCGTTCTCCATTCTTATGGGATCTGGGGCATGCACCCACATGCAACTGCTGTGATTTTCAAACTGCCAGCTCCAGGATTCAAACCGTGATTGGCCATGTGGAATCCAGCACTTTAAACTTTATGCCACCTGCTAGCCCCTCACTAGATGAAAATTTTAAATGTTTAAATTTTAAATACATAGTCAGACTTGGAAGGAAGAAAGAAAAGAAAAAAAGAGGGACCAGCAGATGGCATAGTGGTTACATCACTGGAATCCCACATACTTGACCACAGTTCAAGTCTTGGACCTGGTGGCTTGAGGCTCATGCCGGCCACGTGTGTGCATGCGTGCCCAAAGTCCCAAGAGGAGAATGGAGGAGATGGGATTGTGGCATGGCCATCCCACCTTGGGGGTGATTTCTCTCTTTCTGTCTCTCTGTCTCTCTCTGTCTCTCTGGAGAGCACATACTGCCCTATAGAAAAAAATCTCTCTCTTATAAAAAAAGAAAAAGAATAATTCAATAATATCTGATAAAGTTGATAATGTCTATCCTCTGTGACTCAGTACTCTTTTTTTTCTAGGAATATACTTAAGAGTAATTTTCACACATTTATACAAGGATACATGAATAATGTATTGTAATAAAAAAAGATTAGAATAATTATAAAAGCCCATCAATCAAGGAATGTACAATAGTTTATATACATATATAGAATAACATTTAAAGTTAAAATAAGTGAACAAGTTTTGCAGACAATATTGAGCAATTCTGAAATCATCAAGCGGAGGTAAAAATAAAAATAATTTGCAGTGTTATGCCTTTGGATTTTACTAGTCTTGTAAAATTTGAAAGCACAAAAAAAGAGTGCATATTTTTAGGAGATATATGTTTATGTGTTAAATGGGGTTAAATTGTACACAGGAAGTTTATAGCAATCTTACAATAGTGGTTACTGAGGAATAATAAAGAAAGCTTTCAATCAAATCTAAAGTTTTATTTCTTGAAAATATATATATATTTCAAGCAAATATCAATGAGTGAGTATTTGATGACATGAGTGCAAGGGTCTTTTTTTTTTTTTTATATTGGGAGCATTTTTATAACTGAAAGGAAAGACACACAAAAGCTAAGAATTGTCATTCCATATTGTACAAAGCAAATACTATGACTTCTACACAGGGTAGGCAGAGGGTGCCACACTGAGCTAAAGAATCACTTTGAAAGAACTAATGTTCTCCCTTCCTCTGTCTCCTTGTTCCACTGTGGCCAGTGGGATTGTTAACCTGTACATTAACAAGTTGGATTTTGCCATGGTATATCCACACATTTAATTGTCTTATTGCACTTTTCTTTCTTGCACATTTTTTTCTTTCCTTATGTGTAGTTTAGTGCCTGATAAACAGCACCAAATAAATATTTGTGAATGAAATGACCAATAAGTAGACAGATCCCAACAGAGGAATAAATTTATAAGGTATAATTACCAATATTAAACTTTGCCTACTTTTTAGTTTTGATGTGATTCACACTGTATTTCTTGGCAAAATCCAGTAATATAGAATTCAGCCCCTCTCTGTGTATGGGTTAACATTAGATTTTGCTATATATAACTGAAGTACCCCAAAGAGCAGTGTGTTTCATTAGAAGTATGTTTCTCTCACACCATAAAGAAGACTGAAAGCATTAATGAGACAAAGAAATGTGGTATTATCTGTTGAAGATATTTTATAGTTTTATCAACTGGACTAGGGAGAAATGTTCACCTGCTGAAATACTCATTTTGTAAGCTAAATAATGTGATTGAATGTATAAAATAAAATGAAATTTTAAAAATGTGGAAAAAAAAAAGACTGAAAGAAAGTAAGTCAGGGCTAATGAAAAGTTCTACAGTGCCAGGGATCTTGTCTTTCTGTTCCACCATCTTGAACTATGCTCAAATTCCAGCAAACTTATTTTTTCCTTTATATCTTTTTGTTTCTATCTCTCCCTCTCTCTCTTTTTCTTTCTTTTTTTAAAAATTTTATTTATTTATTTAATTTTAATTACCCTACTTTGAAAAGAAAGGAGGCTTGGCTGGAATATTCTGTAGTACATACCCTCTTATTCCACTGGCTAGTATAGTAAATAGCAGGGCTATGGCATCAAGCTGTAGAAGAGGCTAGGAGGCCTCTTTTAGTAGATGATAACGTTTTCTGGATGGCTTGCTGAAAACTGTGATTAATTCTGTTACTAAAGTAAAAGAAGAAAAGGGACAGTGGAATACTACTGGCACTGTCTGAATTTTTAGTCAGTTATGGGTACTAAAAGGAGAAGATATTTTTTTTACAATGGAAGAGTGACAGGAAAGAGTAGATGCCAGGGGTAGCTTTTTAGCTTACCATTTGTATAAGCATGCCCCTACACAAGCCAAAAATTAGAATATATTTAACCCAATTCTTTTCAACTTCAGTTTTGCTCTCAATGACAAGATATTAGTCAAATATTATTTTTGCTTTAGAGTTTTATTTCTAAGTCGAATGTCTAGAAAGTCACGATGCATTTTTGCATAGAAAAATATGACATGACTTTCCCAACAACATAATAATAATATTCATTCACTATTTTTCTTGTGTGAAATCATATAAACTAAGAAATAGATTGATTTTTGGTTCTAGGATTATCCTTATAAATTTGGTATTAGTCAAAGTGCCAGACTTAGAAAAAAAATATTGAAGTACTAGTAGAATCAAGAAGCTAATCTTCTATAGGCAATTAATCCATAAATAGTGGACTTTCCTTAGGCATCTAATTCTGGTCAGTGTTGCTGATACTGACTTTTTTCACTGGGTTGTAAAATAAAGTTGTAATAAAAAGTTTTATTCTTTAGAGATTTGAAAAATTGCTTTACATGTGTCCTTTTCCTCCCAGGCTCTAAATTATCTTGGTATTCAGCCTACAGAGGAACAGCACCAAGCCCTGAGACAGCAAGTACAAGCAGACTCAAAGGGGACAGTGTCCTTTGGAGGTAATAGGAGATTTTATCAAGTTGTATTATTAACAGAAATTTGGTTAAGGAGTTATTGTGATCCATTTTCATTAAGAGTGCCTATTTTTAAGAGAGAATGAAAAGTAAAACCATAGGTGTTTCACATTCCCTAACTAGTATTCTTAAAAACTCAACCAGAATTACTGCTATGGCTGGGTCAGAGGAAAGAAGAACTTTGTTAGAATCTTTGAGCTCTAAACTATCATCATCCTATCACATTCTTTTTTATTTTTTTAATTATTGTGCACACATTGCTTTATTAATAACAAGGAAGTATACAAAATATAGACTTCTTAATTTTACTGTTGTGAGATTAGTTGGAGTCCTTTTTCAGCTAATGCGATAATAATAAATATTATCATTCTATATAATTATTCTAAATAAAAATAGCATAATGTACCACTTAGTTGACATGCTATAATTAAGATTTTCTACTACTAGGAATTTTTATGGTTTCTCAGTAGTTGATACTACCAATGTTTACCATCACTGTGAATGTAGTTTTGCTTTTTTTCTTTTCTTCAAATACATCCCCACAAATGGTTTGGGCTTTTAATACACATGGATAAGTTGTTTTCCACAGACATTTTATAGACACATTGGTTGTACTGTGAGTAATTCTTAACTATAGCGTGTTTTATTAAATCCATGACACTATTAATTATTTGATTGTTTTCTAATACAGTAAATGCAACATTATATCATTTTTAAAGCATCTGTATTGCTTAAATAAAGGAAATTCATCTTTTGGTTTTAAAGTGATGAAAAGATATTTTTGGTTCCATCTCCTCTTGAAAGTCACAACAAAATAACAATGAGAACAAGAAACAGAAATACATGAATGTCAAACAGAAATAACTGCAATATCTAAGGAATTGAAGAATATGAGGAAAATACATGGATTAGTGAACAAAGACTGGTAAAGCCCAAGTATCTGAGAGAGGGAAATCACAATGAGGAACAAGCTGATGTGATCCTGAAAAGTCTTAGGAATGGAAAATATCAGGTACTTCTGAAGATTGGATTTATGCAGGGAATTTAAAACAGGATTGTTAGAAATCTTGATAGGCAGAATTATACATGCTGTTCACTGCCCTTCTCAAGACACTCCAGTAGCTACCAATCCCTTAAACCTCCAGGAGGAAAGAAGTACATTTCCCTGAGAAATTAAACCAAAGAGAGTCTGTATCTATGTAGTAGTTATGAGCAGCAGAGGAGTTTGGGGGAGTGTATAGTAAGGCTTCACTCACAACGTACACCCAGATTGCTCAGTGAAATCTGCAGCCATGTTTATAAAGCTATAGGAAGGAGATTATATGATTCTCTTTGAAGAACCTAAGCAAAAATGTCAGCTGTCCACCTAATCACTCTGTAGTGAAATCTACCATTTGACAAGACAAGTTATGCACAAAGAATTTCCAGTCACCATTTTTAGTGCCTACCTCTTAACAATGAACTCACAACTAATGATCACCAGACATTTGGAGAAGTCCTTCAACATAAAATATAGATCCCAACACCGTTGGACAAACAGGAAAAAAGGAACTGAAACGTTGGGGGTGGTGATCAAGAGCAGAAGAGAACTTCAGATAAAATATAATTAACATTTGAAAAAACATAAGTGAAAAGAACTCATCCATGAAATAAGAGTAGGATGTCATAAAATAGGAACAATTCGAGAACATTTAAAAGAATTCTTGGAAATGAAAAATATAGCCAAAATTAAAAATATCTGAGGTTACATAGATGAAGCTGCTTGTGGAATGATCTGCTACTGATTTGCCAAGTGTCTTCAGGCAATTTTTTTAATTTTTTTTTTTTTACTTTCATTTGTTGTTATTATTTATTTTTTAGTTGATAAGAGAGAGAGAGACAGAAAGGGAAAGTGAGAAAGCAAGCCACCAGGCTCAGGACTCGAACTGTGGCCAGCCATGTGGGAGTCCAGTGCCTCTAACCACCATGCCACCTGTAGGTCCCACTAATTAGGATTTTATAGAAAAATAAAGAATGGGGCTGGGTTCCTAGCCTAGTAGTGAAGTGAGTCAGATTCCACATGGCAATTTTGATTTGAGTCCAGCCATGGCAGCTTGACAAACATGCTAGGTGCTTGTGTTTGCATGCCCAAACCCAATAGGATGGAGAAATGGTGGAGAAGGGACTATAGCATGACCACGCTCCATCAGGAAGTTGCTTTCTCCCTCCCTCTGTCTCTCTTCCCCTCTCTCTGGGAAGCATACATGCCCTCTGGCAATAAAAAAACATAAATGAGTTAATGCCCTTAAAACTCTTAAAGCTCTACTCTGTAGGTAGTTTTCACTGGCATCATCACTGTTATTAGCCCCATCACAATTACTATTAGAGCTACTATAACCACACCCTGGTCCAGATTTTCATCGTCAGGCTCAAGCCCACGTCTTTAAACACAGCTACTTTCCCTGCTTATTTTAGGCTGTGTTCAGTTGGAAGGGACAAACAACATCAATCTCTCTTATTTTTCTCATCCAAGAGAAAGACGACTAGTGAAAACAAAAAAGGATCCTTAAAAACTCTGTGAAAATCAGGGACCAGCAGTTAGCGTAATGGCTATGTCGCTGGACTCCCACGTATTCGACCGTGGTTCGCGTCCTGGACCTGGTGGCTTAAACTCATGCCGGGGACGTATGCATGCGGGCCCAAGATCCTGAGAGGAGAATGGAGGAGAAGGGATTGTGGTGTGGCCATCCCCCCTGGGTGGGTGGGGGGATGATTTCTCGCTTTCTATCTCTCTGTCTCTGTCTCTCTGTCTGGGGAGCACACACGCCCTACATACAGCAAAAATCTCTTTAAAAAAAAAAAAAAAAAACTCTGAAAATCAAATAGGTCCTAAGAGAGAGAAACACTAGCAAGGGTATTTTTAATTAGCAAATAATCCTATCCAGACCTTCCCCTACACCCTCAGCCTTTGCATTTCAAAGACAGAAACTCTACCAGCAAGAAATACAGGGAGAGCACAGGTCCAGAGAAGACACTCCTGGGATGAGGTCACACTTTCTACCCTCAGGGCTTCTTTGAATTCTTCATCTTTTAAATCACAAGACAACATATGGAAAACAATCAAACAATCCAAGAGGAAGATAAGATAACCTGCATTGGTGGCCACAGAAAATCAAAATACAACTGGATAGAATGTATTTTGTTAAATAGAGAGATTGATACAGACATTACTACCTGTTCCTTGCCAGCCATCAAGGTGACCCTTGGCTGTAAAGAGAGAGAGAGAGAGAGAGAGAGAGGCTGCAGGAAGAACACCAAGGACAGACCACAACGACAGCAGCCCTGGAAAACAGGAGCTGGTGACTGGTGAACCACTGCTTCCAATTCCCCTTACAATGCTCTCCAGCCAGCCCCCAAAATCACAGCTTTAGAAAAGTGGTTTTTTGTTTTTTTTTTTGAAAAATAATTTACCATAATAAATGTGGCCCCATATTTGGCTTTGAAAAGGCACGTTTTTCAAAAGTTTATTTATTGGGGCCAGCAGGTGGCATAGGTATTAAGGCACTGGGCTACCACGTGGCCAATTGCAGTTCGAATCCCAGACCCAGCAGCTTGAAACTCATGCCACAGGCATGTGCATGTATGACCAAAATCCCGAGAGAAGAATGGAGAAGGGATTGTGGTATGGCCATGCTCCCTGGGGTAGTGGAGTGATTTCTTTCTGTCTGTCTCTGTCTCTCCAGCGAGTACACATACTCTATAGCAAAAAGTCTGTTTTTAAAAAAATAAAAATAAGGGCCATCAGGTGGGCATGGTAGTTGAGGGGCTGGATTCTCACATGACCGACTACAGTTCAAGTCCTAGACCCAGAAGCAATAAAATCACAATAAATGATAGATAAATAAATAAATAAAGTAGTTTTAAAAAGAAAGAAAGAAAAACTTAAACATAAAAATAAATTTAAAAATTCATTTATTTCCTTCATATGAGAAGAAAGACCAGGGAGACAGGGTGAATTAAAACTATCTTCGCTGTTTTTGTGACACAGATTTCTGGATCCCGAGTCTGACTCAGTCTGGGATGAGAGAGCAAGAATCCACATTTTAAAGAAACTTCCAGAGAATTCTTGAATACAGTGTAGTTTTTTGTTTGCATGTTTGTATTTTAATTTTGCTACTTGGCACATGCACATGGGGGGTGGGGAGGAAGCATTGCCCATGGTGATGGTCAAGCTACAATCCCTTCTCTTCCTCTCCCCTCCCCCCCTTTCTTCTTTTTTTTTTTTTTTTTAA